GCTTCTTTGGGGTGACTGGCAGGCTGCAGAGATCTCTGCCCCCCCCCCACCACCACAGGACTGTGACCTTAAAGGTTCAGCCATGTCATCATTACTAAGCTACAGTAAAACAGGACCACGGTCTCACAGTGTTGGCCCACTCAGTCAGTCTCTGCTTTAACAGGGACTCTCTGGCCATCTGCACCTTTGGAGAACTGCCTAGATTGATTTAAGAACTTATCTGTAGTCTGGGTTCAAGGTCAGACTGTAGCTGGAAAATAGTTTTTCTCCATTGACATTAATTAGTATCAGCAAATATTAAATGAATATGTAGAAAAGTACTCAGTACTGTAACTGGTCCTGTGGGAAATGTAAAGAGACAAATAAGTCTCAGAGGTTCCCAGGGGCCTCAGAGAGATGGTGGTGGGAAAGGATTGTGCCTAAACAATTAGAAAAGAGTCCATATGGAAAGTCCTGTACTCCTGGAGCTGTGGGGGGCTTGCAGGAAGAGCAGCATGCGTGCCAGTCCCTAACAGGATCCTTAACTGATGGAAGATCACTGACCACCAGACTGTGAGCTTTCTGAGGGCAGGGGCTGACTTGCCCATCCCCAATCCCAGGTCCTGTACTTGGTTGCATGCCATGGTGGGAGCTCAGTAATGTTGACTGAGTGGCTCTATGAACCAGAGGGAGCTGTGGGCATGCTTTCTCCCTCACAGTACCTGCTTCTGCCACCTGCTGCTCTGGTGCACTCCTGCTTGTTCTTTAAGATGTGGCTCTCTCTGGCTCCTCTGCCTTCTTATCCCTCAGGTTGGGACAGGTCCCTCAGTGTCCTGCACTCAGGGCAGATAAGCCTTGGTCAGTACACTAGTGTAGAAGAGCAGTTATCTGTTTGTGCAGCTGGATCCCAAGGAGCCTGGACCCTCCTCTCTCCTCCTCTGTGGAATCTGGCTCAGCAGCAACCCAACCAGGTTTGGATGAACAAATAAATTAATGAATTTCCTCAATAGCCTCGAGCAGATTTTTCTCTCTGCTGTTCTCAAGAGCAGAAGGCTTTCTCTTTCATGGGCCATTAGGAGGAAAACCCCGGAGGTGAAGGGGGCGAGGCCCAGAGAGTGACTTGTGATACCCACTGTGACCCTATGGGATCTATCCGGAGTAACCACATTGCTTCCTCAGTGAGGGCCAGGGGAGAGAATGGCCCTGTGTCCTGAAATGGCTTTGGAGGGGAGCTCTGGGGCCACAAGAGAATAGAAGCACATGATCCTTTGGCAAGGTTAATTTTTTTAAAAAGGAAGTATAGGCCATGGGTGTGGCTCAGTGGTAGAGTGCTTGCCTATCACGTGCACTGCCCTGGGTTCAGTCCCCAAGACTGCAAAAAAAAAAAAAAAAAAAAAAAAAATTAAAAAAAGCCTGTGTTTCCAGCAGTTCCCCACTTAGGGACCAGTCTCGGGGACCTTCCCACAGGATCTGCCCCACCCTCCCAATCATTGGCACTAGCTGTCTGACCTTGAACCTGTCCCTACCCATCCCTGGACCTCTAAATTCTCATCTCCACTCACCAGGGCTTAAAGTGCCCTCAGGAGCCAGTGCCTGGGAAGGAGTCCGTGGTTGGAATCCTGGCTGGTGGCCCCCTCTGACTGGGGTGTTGGCCTGGGCTGCCAGGTTGCAGCTTTCAGAGCGTTTTCCTGTCTAGGGCACTTTCTATTTTTCAATACTTTTCCTATCACAGCCAAACAACAGAAAAAGGAAATTGGTTGAGCCTTCTAAAGACCAAGGGCAGGGAAGGGGGGGGGGTGCGGGGAAGAGGGCAGCCTAAGAGTCTGGAGGCTGGGCTGCAGGGGAGATGCCTTCCACCCCCTCCCGGCCCCCTCCCGGGCTGACTCATTGTTTTGCAACAAACTACAGGCAGCCTTGCCAGGGCACCTTCTTGAGGTTCAGCCCCAGAGCAGGGAGGATTCAGTTGTGACCCTCCCAATGGCCCAGCCAGGCCCAGAACGATTGGGTTATCTCTGCTTGCATCCTCTTTGTTTGGGGCGTCCACTCCCCTCACTTGAGGTAAACAAACCCTGGATCTGTGTGAAAAGAAGGGGCCGGGAATCTCCTGCTGAGGCCGGACTGGGGCGCAGGGCTTTCTGAGCCCTCTCTTTGCAGAGACTCCCCACTGTAGGGGAGGAAGGGGTTTCACACCCCCTGGCTTCAGGCCTGTGGGTCTCCAGCTCTGCACCTTATTGCTGGTGACCTTGGCAAGTCCCTGCCCTTCCCATTTCAACCTCTGTAAAATGTACCTGCCTCATAGGGTTGTTCTGAAGACTGAGTTCATATTTATAAAGTCCCATGTAAGTCTGGTTTATATATATTTTTGAGGTGCTGGGGATTGAACCCAGGGGCCTCTAACGTGCTAGGCAAGTGCTCGACCACCTAATGAGTGATTACCACCACCACCACCCCACATTTAAATGATGGTGTATTTTTTAAGAGTTGTATGTAAGTTGTGGTTAAATAGGAGACAGCAACAATGGGAGAGCCCCACACCCAGGACCAGGCCTGAAGGGGATTTCCTAGCCCCATCCCTCCCCCACACCCCAGTGGATCTCACTCTGCACCCCTGAGCGAGAGCATTGATGGACCCCAGCAGGATCGGCCCCAAAGCCCTAAGCTCCTTTTGGAATGGAAGTTGTGCTGAGAAATTCTCCAGGGAGGCCGGCGCCAGCCCGGAAGTTCTGCCCACCTGAGATGGTGCAGGGCAGGCTTTGGGCTTTCTAGAAAGAGCTTCCCAAGAATTTCAAAAAGACATCCCCACAGATGAGCCTGGGGTGGTGAAGCATGGGGGAGGGCAGCAGGGTCACAGCCTCTCCCCAACAGTGGGGCCTCTCCTACCATTTTCTCTTCTGGACTGATATTCCCCATCATGATTCTGACATTTACTGGAGACTTTGGGGAAGTTACTTCCCTCTCACTGAAGCTCCATTTCTTTGTCTGTAACAAGAGATGAATCCCTACCTTTTATGGGGGTTTGGGGAGTACAGGAGGCAACATCACACACTAAGCTTCTGTAGGGATCACACCGCCCTTGTCTCCACTCACACTCCATCCCTAAGGTGCTTTTTTGGCCACCTGTCTCAGTGTTCAAGGCCCAAGTACCAGACTCTTCTGACTTCTAGCCTGACTCCATTTGGCAGGGGTGAGGTCTCGCCTCCCTGCCCTGCTTCCGGCAGCTCTTCCTTGACTCTAAGTGCCTGAGGCCAGACCTCTTCTCAGCCTCTTCCTTCCTGGTTTCCTTAAGGGTGGACTTCAGAGCTCAAGAGTTTGGGGGCTGACGTCTGGGGATTCGGTAGCAGCATCCTGGACAAGTCCTGGGCTCTCTCCAAGCCTCTGTCACTCAGGCATTCGTTTGGCAAATATTTCTGAGCACCCGCTCTGTGCCTGACAAGGTGCAGGGGACAGCAGGCACAAAAGTGAATTAGGGGCTGGGGATGTGGCTCAAGTGGTAGCGCGCTCGTCTGGCATGCGTGCGGCCCGGGTTCGATCCTCAGCACCACATACAAACAAAGATGTTGTGTCCGCTGAAAACTAAAAAATAAATATTAAAATTCTCTCTCTCTCTCTCTCTCTCTCTCTCTCTCTCAAAAAAAAAAAAAGTGAATTAGGACAGGGTTGCTCTCTGCCCTCAAAGAATAGTCTCCAAGGGAGACACGTCTAATACCTACCCAAACACATGCTGTTTGAGGGCTACAGAGAGTGGCGCGTTCTTTGGGATCCTATTTCCTGGAGAGCAGAAGAGAAAGGATCCCTGAAGGGTAAGCCAGATCTGATGGCCATCTAGGAATGCTGGGAGGTAGGGAAGTGGGAGGGAGGGGAACATGTGCAGATAGCAGAAACAGCACCTGCAAAGACCCTGAGGTCATAAGGGTTTGGTACTCATCCTACCGAAAGGAGGCCACCGTGCATAAGCAAAGAGAGACCCAGGATGAAGTCCGAGAGCAGACGGGCTGCAGCTGGGAGAGACTGTGGACTAGAAGCGTCGAGGGGTTTTGAGTATTGAGGAGACATGGTTAGAGCTCTCTCTAAAGTACCTCCAATAGGTCAGTGGATAATGGCTTGGCCTAGATTTGGGGAAGGAGGAGGCCATCTTTGGGGGGTGGTCTAGATGGCTAGATGAGGGAGGGGGAGTAGAGCTCTATTTCTTTGTAACAAGAGATGAATTTCGGCCTTTTTTGGGGGGGGTTGGGGAGTACAGGAGGCAACAACACAGGCTAAGCTCTGAAGGGATGCACACCGTGCCCCCCACCACCCGGCCTTGTCTCCACCCACACTCCAGAAGGAGCAGAGCAAACACATGGGGGGGTGGGGCAGAAGGAACTAGTGAGAAGGGGCTTGGGTGGTAACTTAGCAACACAATGGTTAGATGGCCCTAGAGGGCCAGGGCCCAGGGCTTAATCCCCAGCACTGCAGGAGGGGGGCATTGCAATCCAAACCTCTAAAGAAAGTGGGAGGGGAAGAGGGCTAATGTAACTCTCAGGTTTCTGCCATGGGAAACTGGGTAGATGGTGGGACCAGTTACTGAGAGAAGAATCCCCAGGAGGGACAGAATGGGTGGGGAGGTGAAGAGCAGAAGGTTAGCCCTAGAGGTCAATGTTTGAGGGCTTTATCAGGTAGGCAGCTGGATACATCAGTCCAGAACATAAAGGTCTAGATCAGAAATTGGAAATTGTGGAGATGGGATTAAAAACATGGGAATGGGAAAATTTTCTGGGAGACACTAGTCAATGCTAACCCAAGAGGACCCAAGCCCACAACCTGAGGGACACACTAATGGAGGGTTGGGCAAAGTCCAAGCCTCAGTTTTATCAACTGTAATATGGAGATAATCAAACCCATGGCTCCCAGCATAATCTTAAGCAGTGGATATAAGGTACCTACCCAGAGCCCCGCACAGTTGTGCAATGAGAGCTTGTGAGGAAATCTGCCGTGTATTTGCTCAGCAGTTTTCCTTATTTGCAATGGAAACTCAAACTAGCTTAGAGAAACAGGAGTTTATTCAAAGGATTTGGATAGCCCCACCAGCAGAGGAAGAAATCAGTCACCAAGCCACAAACCACGGAAGGGCAGGAACACAGTCCTTTGAGGGACTCACTAAATCTCTTGTCTCTGCTTCCTGTTGGGATAGACTCCATCCTCTCACATCACAGGTTCTTTGACTTGCAGGCCCTGGGTGACAGGGGACACAGCTGCTGGCCAGGACTGCATTTCACGTGGTGATGTTCTCTGACGAGAGAGGGACTTGCTTGCATTCTCCCAAGTGCACAGTCTCGGGGAAGGGCTCTGGTCAGCTGGGCTTTGTTCAGGCCCTGCCCTTGCACCAATCAGGATGGAGGAGCAAAGGGATTGGCACCTACGATGACATTAGCTATTGCTCCTGACACACCCTTGGGACCCACACTACCCAGCTCCCATCCACATGGACTCACCGGTAACCTCGCCTCACATCTTCAGTCCACAGTGTCTGCCCACCCCACCTCCCCTTGGCACTGCTTTGAAGGGGGACCTCTTAAGAGCCTTCAATGGCCAGATCCTTGGACTTCTGAAGATTTTTCTCTTTCTTCCATTTCAGTAGGTCTCCTATCAGTCTGCTCACCCAGACCTTCTCCAGAAAGGAAGCCCCGCCTCTCCAGCCTTCATGTCCCCTCCCACTGATCTCTGAACACTCACGGCAGCGCAGTGGTCATTGCTTGCATGTGGGACGGGTTGCTGCATGCCAATCACTGGAAAAAAGAGTTGGCGCTTTTCCAGACTGCATCTCACGAAATCCCTGAGCAACAGATGCCACCATCCCGGGCTGACAGAAACAGAGGCCTAACGTGTCCCGAATCACACTACTGGCTAATGAAATAGCCAGCACTTGATGGCAAGAAGGATGGCTGACCTCTAGACCTTTGCTCTATAGGACCAGGACCAGCAAACTATGGCCAAAATTCTGCCCATAGCCTGCTTTTGTGCAACCTAACAATTAGAATGGATTTTACATGGTTGAGGGGGGCAGGAAGAAGCATAAAATTTGGGCATATATGGAAATCCTATAATATTAAAATTTCAGTATCCACAAAGTTTTATTGGAACACAGATTCATTCATCAGGTATGGCAAAGTTGGGTAACTGACAGAGCCAGAGACCTTAAGAGCCCCAAAGCCTAAAATTTGGACGACTTGCCCTTCAACAGAACAAGTTTGTGCCAGTGTGCTCTACAGGGTTCTACCACACTGCCTACCTTATACTGGCCATGCCACAGCCCTCTGGGGTCCTAGATGCCCACCTGCCTCTGGGGGTCACTGTGGAATGGTGGCAGGATGGTCAGGTGGGCTTTAGTTCTCCTCCTACAACCAAGTACTCAGCATTTGCCTATGATGGGATTAGATGTTCAAGACCCCAAGACCCTTGCCAGGATGGTGGCACACGCCTGTAATCCTAGTGACTTGGGAGGCTGAAGCAGGAGGATCGTACATCCAAGGCCAGCCTGGGCAACTTAGGAAAACCCGGTTTCAAAAATAAAAAATAAAAATAAAATGAAAAGGACTGAAAATGTAGTGGTAAAGCACCCCTGGGCTCAGTCCCTAGTACCACCAAAGAAATAAGTAAATAAAGTTTAAAAATAAAAATTAGGGTCTGGGGATGTGGCTCAAGCGGTAGCGCGCTCGCCTGGCATGTGTGCGGCCCGGGTTCGATCCTCAGCACCACATACAAACAAAGGTGTTGTGTCCGCCAAAAAAAACCTAAAAAAATAAATAAATATTTAAAAATTCTCTCTCTCTCTCTCTCCTATTTTTTTTTTAAAAAAGAATACCTCCTGTTCCTCCTATAAAAAATAAATAAATAAAATAAAAATAAAAATTAGAGAGGGCTGGGGAGTAACTCAGTGGTGGAACACTTGCCCAGCCTGTGCAGGGCCTGGGTTCCATTCCCCAACACCACAAAAACTGAGGAGACTCCAAGACCTGAAAACATCCAGAAAGTGTTTTGTAAACCATCCCCTTTGGGTGTCCCCTGGCTAAGCCAGGCCCTCTGCCCCCAGGGACTGCCATGGGAGACCTTTGTCCTGACAGGCTCTGACTCATCTGGAGTGTATCCGGGTCTTGCTAGGTTTTCAAGGAAAGCAGCGCACAGATCTTAATCAGAAGAAGGAGTGGGAGAGTTGTCTTGAGGAATAAGAGAGGTCAGGAAAGAAAGCACCAAGCCTGAAGGTCAGCACATAGTAGGTGCTTGATGACCCTTAGCTTTTGTGAAGAGAAGGGAGGGGCGGAGAATAGAGGATTTTAGAAGTCTCCACCTTCTGCTTGCCTGGGTGGAGTTTTGCATTAGAAGAAGGCTCCCTTCCTCCAGCACATGTGGCCCTCACACAAGGACACCCTTGGTGAGCATAGTGGGAGCTATATTATCCCCACCTACCCCCACTCCAGGTGACTTTGTGCAGTGTACCCCCTTCACAGCTGTCTCTGGCAGCCCTGCTTGACCTGAAGAAGGAGGTTTCCTGAGTTTCCCTCCTAACCCTGCCTCAGACTCAGGCCAGTCCCCGGAAACTTCCTGGGCTTTGGCTTCTTCTGGATAATAAGAAGGCCTGTCCGGCTTCCCTCTGGCAGTAATGAGGGAGCAGATGTGGATACCGTGGTGGAGAATCTTGTCGTCAACCAAATGACCAAATGGAAGCCTGCCATTTGGGGTCCTCCAGGATCTCCTATTTACCCAGAGGGCTGTGTTGTTTTTTTAAAATATACATGTTGTCGAAAACTCAGAAAGCAAAGGGGGAGGCCTCTCACAGTTTACCAGGGCTAATATCATTCCTACACTTTCTCTTGCTTTGCGGGGAGGAAGGGGACAGGGAGGGGGGACACTAGAGCTGGGCTCTCAACCTCCCAGGCCTTCCTGGGAGAAGCCGATTCTGATTCTAAGGGTCTGCAGCCTGCATTTCTAAGGGGATCCCAGCTGACATCTATTTGAGGCCCACACCTGGTCACAAAGGCCCAGAGGACCTCGAGCAGGTGGAAGAGGTGAGGCCAGGGCTTCCTGACCCCAAGCGGCAGTGACAGTTCCCACCACCCTGGCAGCTGCTTCTCCAAGTGAGGGGCAGGGGCTATGTGCCTCCCAGGATCCTGGGGATCAGCCTGGGCAGCCCCACCTTGGGAACTGTGGGCGTGAGTGCCTCCAAGGCCTGAAGCCTTCGGGAAGGGGAGTTGGGGAAACAGGGAAGGACTGGGTTGCCTCAGATCAAAGCAGGTTCTCCAGCCTTTGATTCCCGACAAGAAGCCTCTTTGGAGCTGAGTGCAGTTTGGGGCTGGCTGGCCTTGGGGCCTGGGGAAAGTGGTGAGAGGCCCTGGCCCGCTCTCCTTTTGCATAACAGCTTGGCTGCCTAACAAAAGGGCCGGCCTTAAAAGGCTGATGGGGCTGTTAAAAGCTTCCGGCAATGGTTTAATTGGGGGCGATTAAAGTGTCCTCCTCAGGAAGGCCTGCCCTTCAAAGGCCAAGAGGGCCAGCTCCCCTGCCCTCAGCACCTCTCCCCTCGAGGAGGGCCTTCCCCGAGCCTCTCCCCTCCCCCAGACTGGGCCACCCCATTCCCTGCAGACCTAGGAAGTTGGTGGACAGGACCCTTTGGCCAGCCTGTCTGGGGGATTCTGTCTCGGCTCCTGGACCATCAGCACCATTTGTCCACACAGTTTGGTCTTGTGGCTGAGTCTGGTGCGGGCAGGAGAAGAGACTGAGCTAGACACAAACAGGAGCGGGGCCCACTCGGCACTCTGGCTGCCTCTCCCCCGGGACACCCAGACTGGCCCCGGACCCCTCCCTGAGCTCCTGTCACCAGCCCTTCTCCCCAGGGCCCAGCCTGTCTGGAACTTCATGGTCACCATTGGGGGTCCCATCTCCTGCCAGACATGAATCTTCCAGACACCTTCTGAGTGTACCACCTGGGAGGTGTTGGTGATTCAGAGGTAACCAGACAAGGACCAGGGCTGTGGGGAGATACCGGATGACTGAATGGGCAACAGCGATAGAAGTGACGTGGGCCAGATGGGACAGTGCGAGGCTGGGGGAGCAGAGGGGCAGGAGAGAATTTCTGGAAGCAGAAGGAGCCTGGAGTTAGAATGCAGCCACCTCAGTTTGGCCCATTTGCCAACCCTGAGGTCCACAGAAGACCACAGTCAGCTTTGCTAACAGACTTTGTCCACCCAACCAACCTGGGATCCTTGGGAGGGGTAGTGGGCGAGACTTCCCATCCAGTCTGGAAACTGTGGCTCTGAGGACATCTGAATCAGAGTCTTCCCAGAGCTCACAAGGTCTCTCCAGTTCACCTGTTGGCCTAACTGAGGTGCTGCTTAGGGTGCCACCTTCCTCTCTTGTCCGCTCAGGTCCAGCCACAGACAGAAAGTCCAGGGCCTTCTTTCTCCCTTCAGGGTGCCATTTCCTGCAGCATGCCCTGATCTCATCTTCCCATGGGCTTTGTCCAGTGCCCATCTGAGACGGGGATGCTACGGGCAAGGGTCTCTGGGACATCCACATCCCTGGGTCAGCAGGGAGGTAGGGAAGGGCCATCCTGTTTTCAGGGTGTGGGAGAAAAGCAAGGTGGAAGGGAGGCTCAGGCTTGAAGGCCGGCTGCAGCAAGCCTCCCTTCTGAGTCCCCTCTAGGAAGGTGTCCCTGACTCTCCCCGCCACCCTCCTGACAGCTTCCCTATCAGTCTCAGGAATCTACCCTAACCCTCAGAAGCACACGCAGGGCAGGTCCAGGTCAGCAAAAGCCCTGGGAAGAAAAGGCGGAAAGCCCTGCAGCTCAGGTGCCCTGACTTTGATTTTGAGTGATTCTGCTCCCAGTTTGGCTGCTGGTCATATCCGCAGCATTGGGGCTGCTCCCAAACCAGCAAGTGGTGTGGCAGAGCCCCCGCAGGGGTCATGGCTCCCTCACAAGGATCCAAGAGCAGAGGAACAGGTAGCTGAGGATGGCTGGGAGGCCTGGCCCCACCCACTGACCCTCCAGCCATGCCAGCCTCACCCTCTAGAGAACAGAAGCCCTCTAGAGAAGGGGATCTGGACTGCAAATTCACCCCCTCCATAGAACGCATGAGCAGATCCAGGGAAGGAGCCCGCCTGCTCACAGCTCTCCAGGCCCCTCTCTGCCTCCTTGATTACCCACCCCCAGCTATATGCCTTTACTCCAGGGGGACCAGCTCTCTTTGCCCAGGATCAAGGGGATTCCCGGGACAGAGGACTTTCAGTTTTAAAACCTGGACAGTCCCTGGCACACCATGCTGGTTGCTCAGGACCGCGGGGCTTCCCGGGTTCAGCACTAAAACTGGGAAAGCCCCAGGCAAACCAGGACAAGTCGCTCACCCTACGGTTACCCCATGGGCTGGCCTCTGCCCCCACTGGTTTTCTGAGAGTGTTCAAAGGCCACCGCCAACCTTAAATGCTCTTCTCTTCCTTGCCCTGTGGGGGTGATGGTAGGGTAGTGGGTGACTGGGGCTGTACCCCGCTGACCTGGAGGGTGTGGCTAGTGGGGAAGAGGACACAGAAGTCAACCGCAGTCTTGGAACACCACCCCAGCCTGCTCCATTGTCCCACCTCTCTCCAGCCAGTTGCTGGGCCCATGCGCTTTATCACCCCTGGCGCTATCTGGCCACTGTAGGAACATCCCCTCCTTGCCCACCCAGTTCTGCCCCGACCCAGATAAGCCCG